AAAAAGAAAAAAAAAGAGATCTCCACCTTTTTCTGGCCTATTGTTGTTAGGTGCTCTCAAGTTGAGGATAACTCATAGCAACTGATTAACATAACTCATTAACAGCTGGTCTGAACTTTTCCCTATCCTGAACCATCTTCATAAAGTTTCATTGCTGAAGTCACTGTGTCAATCCATCTCATTGAGGATCTTCCTCTCCTTTGCTTACCTTCCATTTCTCAACTCATGATAATCTCTTTCCAAGGAATAGCCTGACCTAGCTACATGTCTAACGTATAAGTAAAAACATGACTATCTTTGTCTACAAGAGGCAGACTTGCTGCAATTTTTCCAAGCATACCTGTTTGTTCTTTTCACAGTTCATGGGATATTCTGACCAAGATGTATTAAAATGCATATATTTATTAATGGGGAGCTCTGGTGGTCTAGTGGCAAGAGATTGTGGATTTATATCATTTTATAGATCTCTAGGAATCTTTTAATACCGTAAAAGGCCAACACTGCACTAAAATATGTGATGTTCACAGAAGACCTACAGGAACATAAACAACATTATTTCACAGATTTAATGATGCTTAATTTGGGGACTGAAGAAAGACAGAATCCCAAAGAGCTATGTTGCTGTAAATCAACAAAGGCTTTTAATTTAGGAAAAGTGACTCCTAATGAAAAGCTAATTTAAGTAAATATTAGATCTTAAATATAAAATAAATGTAAAATATTGGACCATTTTATTTAAGTATTGAGGTATTTCAAGATAAATCATAAACATAACTATTTTTTATACTTTTTATTGTGATTTTAATGAAAATAAAGAAAACTTGGATTTCTTGTTGCACATTTTCCTCCCTACTTCCCCCTCTACAGTTCACTTTTCTCTTTAAAAAATACATTCATTGTTACACAATTTCCTCCCTCCCCCAGAGATCAGCACCTCTTTTTCTGGACTGCAAATAATGGCTAATCATATATTTCTTTTAAACAATTCTTTTACTCATCTGTCCCAAAGCAGTGTTCATTATTTTCCCCTCTTTTCTTAGTTTCCCTCCAACCCTCAATGTCAATTTTGTTTTATAATTGTGGCATTATGCAGGATTTGTTCTTTTGTGACTGAGATATTTCACTCAGGACAATGTCCTCTGGGGTCACCCATTTTGTATAATACTATATGAGTTCCTTGCTTTTCAGTGCTGCATAGTATTCTACTGTGTGTGTGTGTGTGTGTGTGTGTGTGTGTGTGTGTAGCTTCTATCCATTCATTTGCTGATGGGTATTTGGGTTGTTTCCAACTCTTTGCTATTGTGAACAAAGCAGCCATAAACATGGATGTGCATATATCTGCTTGAGTGGCAGTTCTGTTTTCCTTAGGGTATATTCCCAGTAGTGGAATTGCTGGGTCAAATGGTATTTCTGTTTCCAACTTTTGGAGAAAGAGTTGTACTGCCTTTCATAGTCTTTGCACAATTTTACACTCCCACAGTAAATAAGGGTTCCAGTTCCTCCACAACCTTGCCAGTATTTGTTGTTTGCTGCTCTGTTGAACTTTGCTATTATTACTTGGGTGAGATGATATCTCATAGTTATTCTGATTTGCATCTCTCTTAGAGAGAGAGATTTTGAACATTCTTCCTGAGTTTGTTCACCATCTGAATGTCTGTCTTCTTTGGTGAAATGTCTTTCTTATCCTGTGCCCATTTTGTGATTGGGTTGTTTACTTTTAACTTGTTGAGGTGCTAGAGTATTCTATAAATTCTAGATATAAGTCCTTTATCAGATATACCATTACAAAATATTTTTCACCAGTCTGTGGGTTTTTATTCTGTTGGAGATTTTTTAAAATATGTATAGAGATTTGATTCTTAGAAGATCACATTCATCTGTTTTATTCTCTCTTAGTTGTAGATTTTTCAGGATGATTGGAAGACTATTAATGTTGTGGATTAGGGCTTCTAGAGTTCTTCCAAACTTGTCCCTGATGAAGTTTATAGTTCTTGATTCTAATTCTAGGTTCTTGATCCACTTTGAGTTGGTTTTTGTGTACGGTGTGAGGTGTGGTTCTTGTTTGAGTTTTCTGCAGATAGTTTCCCAATTTTGCCAATACCATTTTTGTAAAGGGGCTTTCATTTCCCAACGTAACTGATTCCATCTTCTTTTCAAAAATCAGTTGACCATAGATAGATGTACTGATTTCTGGGTTCTCAATTCTATTCCATTGATCGTTGTGTGTGTCTCTGTAAAAATACCACACTGTCTTGACCACCATGAAAAAATTACCTCTAATTACTGCTTTTACTGTTTCCCAGAAGTTTTTGTTAGTTGTGTTTTCATTGTCATTTGTTTCAAGAAACTTTTTAATTTCATTTTTTATTTCTGCTAGTATCCACTCATTTTCAAACAAGGTATTGTTTAGCTTCCAAATGTATGGGCTTTTTTTCCCTCCTCTTTCCTCTTGTTATTTATTTCTAATTTTGTAGTATTGTGCTCTGAGAAGATGCTTTGTATTATTTCTATGTTTTTTAGAATTTATTGATGCTTGCTATGTGACCTAAAATATGATCTATTCTGGAGAATGTCCTATATACACTGAAGAAGAAGGCATACTTTACTTTCTTGGGGTGTATTAGCCTCTATATATCTATGAGATCAAGTTGTTTTATTGTGTGGTTTAATTCTTCAGCATCTTTGTTAAGTTTTTTTCTGGTAGTTCTATCTTTTCTTGAGAGTGGTATACTAGGTCTCCTACTACTATAGTAGTGTTGTATTGTTCTGTTAATGTTTGTTTTGTATATTTTGCAGCTCTATCATTTGGTGCATAGATATTTGTTATGCTTATGTCCTCTTGTTCTATTGACCCTATAAGCATTATATTGTGACCCTTCTTGTCCTTTATAATGGTATTTGTGTTGAAATATATTTTATCAGGGTTTAATATTGCTACTCCTGCATTTTTTTCAGGTTGTAATTTTCTTGGTATATTTCCCCCTGCCCATTTATATTTAGTCTTTCTTTATCTTCACTCTTCAGGTGTGTCTCTTGTAGACAGCATATTTATGGGCTTTGAGATTTTTTTAATCAAATTTTCACTCTTTTTATCTTCATTGGTGAATTTAAACCACTTACATTCAGTGCAATTATTGAGAGGGAAGAGTTTAATGCTAGCATTCTGTTGAGTTCCTTTTGGTGTTGTTGCTAGTTGCTTTGGTCCATCCTGCTTTCTGTGGCATCTATATCAAAAGAACTTCTTTCAGTGTTTCCTTCAATGCTAGTCTTGTTTTTTACAAACTCCCTTAAGTTCTGTTTTTCTGAGAATATCTTCACCTCTCCTTCATATTTGATGAACAATTTTTGCTGGATGTAGTATTATTGGTAGAAAGTTGTATTATTTGAGTGTTCGATATATGTTATTCTATTGTCTTCTTGCTTATATGGTTTCTGCTGTGAAATCAGTACTTAACCTTATTTGCTTTCCTTTATAGGTTACTCTTTGTTTCTCCCTAGCTGCTTTCAAAATTCTCTCATTATCTTTGGTTGTGGCAAATTTGACTGTTACACCTTGGAGTCTTTCTTTTGGGGTCTATTCTATATGGTGTTCATTCCATTTCTTGGATATATATTTCCTCACTCTTCATTATGCCTAGAATGTTTTCTTCTAGTAATTCTTCCACAAATTTCTTGGTGCCTTTAGTTGCTTCTTTCTCTTCTGGGATTCCAATTATGTTCATGTTATTCCTCTTGATGGAATCCCAGAGTATTCTTAGGCATTTTCTTTTTAAATTCTGCTTTTTTTTTTCTAGCAGATCATTGGTTGCAATTCTAACTTGTATTCACTGGTTCTGTGTTCCATCTCTTCAACTCTGTTCATATGTCCCTTCAACATGTTGACAGCATCTGAAACATTCGTCCACATATTCTGGATTGTGGTTTCTTATGTTTCCAGTGTCTCTAATGACTCATTTGTTTTATCTGCATTATCTTGGATTGTTCTTTTAAGTTCCTTTTGGTTTTTGCTTGCGGAGTCCTGTAATTCTTTAAGTTTATCTTTCACCCACTGAAAATATGCAGTTATTGTTTTTTTTAACGTTTGTGTCCGAAAGTTCCTGCAGACTTTCTGGCTTAAGGAAACCGATTGATATTCTGTCACTTTTTGGGGTAACATCTTGTTTTGGGTTTGTGTAAGACGTGAAGTAGTCTGCATATTGCATATTCGGTGTCA